ACTTACTATCCCAGTCTTACACTCAATTTAATTTTATTTTCTTGCTCTCCTTTAGAATGAAAGCTCTTTTGTTTTGTTTACTAACACATATTTACTTAGTCCCTAGAAAACAACAGACACACAATGGACAGTAAGTAAATATTTGTTGACTGAATGAATAAATGACTGTTCCAAGTGTGACCTATTCTTGATTCTAGCAATGCCACAAAAGTTAGTCGGTTTTAGTTCAATTATCATGAGATAAGCTTTGACACTGAAGGTATAATGAAATTCATATCTTCAGAAAGTTAAAGTTATTCTTGATACAAGAAAGAAGATCTGCCTTTCTTGGCATTCAAGTTTTTTAAAAATAACAACAACAAAAGAAATTTGAACAACTTGGAATAAGGAAGCTTGGGTAGAAACCTAAATGGCTAAATTGCAAATGCAGGGGCAAAAAAATCAATTCAAAGCTTCCTGACAGTGATAAACCATAAAACATTTCAGAGCAATGATTTTGCCCTAGTGAGTTGGCATAATATGCAAGTAACCTTTTCTGTGGGGCCAAAATAGAAACGATTCCAGAATCAGGTCAATGAATGAAATTCACTGTCAGCAGGCTTTGGTGCCTCAAAGAGGATCAAACTTCATGTACCTATTGTATCCATCATTCCAGCTAAAAAAAGAAACACAGTAGGGAGGTTACCTGTTTATCCATCACATTCTGATCAACCTGAGGTCAAGGGCTGTATCTCACGCATGTTATACCCCCAGCCCAGAGCCTACACTTGACCAAATGTATACCTGCTAAATGAATGATCCCTGGTGATCACCACTGCCAATTATATATCCAAAGAAGTACTCATAAACTCAAGTAACTACTACAGTTTAATATTTCAGAACAATTTCTGAAAGCAAAACAATTCGCATAGCTACAGATTCTCTACCTCATTCCAAATCCACTTATCTCACTCTTTTCTTAAAGAAAAGGCAACTAAAAGCCAGACAGACTGAACAGAATATTTGCAGTTTCAAAGTTATCACCTCACATAGGACTTATTACAAAAGAATTAAAATACCCTTACAGTGGAGAGATCTGATAAAACGTCATCTTCACCAAATGATTAAACCTTGCATTATCAATAAAGGGACAAACTGACATCAAATGTCTCCTGATGTGATGCACTGGGAAGTGGACGTCACCTATGTGGGTAGCATTCTGAACAAAGATATTTAACCTGAATCTAATCATGAAGAGACAATCAGATAACTTCCATTGTGGAACATTCTATGAAACTATTAGCCTGGATTTCAAAGATGACAGTCTCAAGAAACTGAAGCAAAGATGCAGGAACTGTTCTAGACTAAAGGAACTAGCAAGACTAAAGAGACATGACAACTAAATGCAACATGTGATCTCTGGTTAGATCTGGGAATTTTAAAAAAATTTTTAAAGGGGAAAAAGCTATAAACGGCGTTATTCGAACAACTGGGGAAATTTAAATAATGCCTATATATTAGATAATATTCTATCAATGTCAGATTTCTTGGGTGTGATGTCGTTTTTCTGGCTGTGGCAGAAAATGTTCTCACTTTAAATGATACATGCAGAAGCATTAGGTGTCAAGTGCCATCACTTCTGTAACTTCCTTTCCAAAGGCTCCACAGAAGGTAAAAATGTTATGTGTATGCACATATATTTAGGGAGAAAGCAAAAGAATCAAAATATTAATAATGAATCTAGGGGTATATAAGTATTTGTTATACTATCATTTCAATTTTCAGTAGGCTTTCCAAATAGAGTTATGAGAAAAATAAGGAAATGAACAAAAACAGACCAATCTGGTCCAGAAGTGCCTCCAGAATGCATTTTTGTACGGTGTCTCCAAAATACCATATATTTTTGTCATTGTCAAATGTGATCTTAGTACCTTTTGATACCTTTTGCCAGATTATCATTTTAGGCATGATTTCAAGCTAACATCTGTATCTGACCCAACATGGATATTATTTTATTAACTATTTCACAAACCTGTTCGGGAAAACACTAGGCAGGTAATATACAGCCAAGTCCCTGGTGTCCGCTGAATGGCGCCTGGCAGTCGCTGCCCAGTGGATGAGAAATCACAGGTGCCTTGTTTATAACTGCAGTCAGTAATCCAACCCTCCTTCCTTTGCAAGTCTCATGCTGGTTCTCGGATCGTTTACTAACTCAAGACATCAGTCAGCTTTGCTAGAGTCCAACCTCACCCTTCAATTACCAGTCCTCAGTCTTCTTGCCTTTAAAGGTCCAATACATAACCGTGTCCCCCTCCCCAAGAGTTTTATTATTAGCATTCCCAAGTAATTTCTCCTCCTCTCAGCTTTCTGAGCACGACAGCTTTCTATCTCGTATCATAACTGTGAAAAATCCTATCAGGCTCAGCAGAAGGTTCTCCAGTGGGTGTAAGAGTTACAAAGAAACTGTGTCAAAGATCTAGAATGCATGAGTGGGAGACTCGGCAACAGGTCTCAGAAAGTGATTCCTAGAAAGAGCAGCTGGTGGAGGGGGTGTATTTGGACGTCGGTGGGAGGGATCCGCAGACAACCTCGCCGCTCAGAGGGGCTGGATTAGACGAGAAACAAAGGAAATGTGAGCCCTGACTGACAGCTCCGCAGTCTGGGCTATGCAGCGTCCGAGATGCCAAAGCCCAGAGGCCGGCGCGGACGAAAGGGGCCAGGCGCACCTAGCGCCCCTAACAATGCGGGGATGACCGCCTCCTGTGCCCCCAACAAGCCGCCTACAGGGCTCTGCCGAGTTCCTGTCTGAACCTGCAGCGTTTGGAAATTCCCAAGGGCAAGATCACTTTGGGCGGCGGCCGAGCTCCCTTCACTGACGGGTCCACCCGCGGCCGCTCCCGACGACCTGGCGGGGCTTGGGGTAGCCCGTCCCGAGGGGCTGGCGAGGAAGCGAAGTGGAGTGGCGCCAAGGCCCCAATTCTCGGCCGAGGGAGCAGGAACCTCTTCCCAGGAGGAAAACAGACCCCGCGGGAGGGGCGAGCGAGGACCCCGCCTGCCCCCGGCCGGAAGGGGCGAC